GGATTCTACATAGCCTTTACTGAAACTGTAGATACTAAATCTTTTCACACAGGTGTATTCAAAACATAGTGGTTAGATCAAGCACCTCATGAATCTTAACCGCAACGAACTACTCACACAAACATAACTACTAGAACATACGGCCAGCAAAGTTGCTAAACAGGCCTAAACAGTCAATGCGGAGGACATTGGGTAAATAGATTATTTGCGTAATAGAGGAAAAAGCTTCCCCTTGATCGAGAAATAACATGATCGTCTCCCTGGATGGATCCAGGCAATCAATTCACCAATGAGCGTCTAAAGCAGGAAAACTGAAGATTTCAGCCACCAAAGTTTGGAGTCAAATAAAAAATACATTTACCTTCCCCGTAAAAGCCACGTAACTTAGGTGAAACATTAAAAGCCGAAGTTGCAGTGCAAATAGATAGCAGTCGTTTTGTATGTAGGCGGGATCAATGGTTTATGCAAATGAAGGTATCAGAAAACAAATTTTCCTTTGAGGGTGAGACAAAAACTTATTGTTATATACAATGTACATATGAAGGAGTTTTCCTAAACAAACACACATATTTAAAAGACCGTAGACTTGATAAAATTTTGAGTTTATGAATTAACGTAACATTTGTAGTGATAAATAAATCCCCAAAATCAATGGCTCTGTAAGTCTTCAACATTTGACGCTGACCACACTATTCTTAATGGACTCATCTGGCCGAGGGCGCTCGGTCATGCTTCCGCACCAGATTACGACTGGGAACTCCGTGCTCAACATTTCCTACAACCACTAACCAGCTCAGATTAGTTGCTTTCTGATATATTGATAGCCTGTCAAATATATCTTCGAACCTCTACTTCTGACTCCTGATTTAAGTGGATCGGCATGTTTCGATAAAAACAGGTGTTGCTGGTTAAGAATGTCACGATCCGAAGACTTGTGGCAACTTGACATTTTTATACTTTGATCTATTTTGCCTCTCCGTCAACATATTTCGCCACAGGGCCTTCTCGAGTTGGATGTGGGTGGTGTGACCCCCCAGCCTATGTCGAAGTAACACATTGTGATTCATACCTGACATGGAGTAACCAGGTACTACAGCTACTTTGATAACTGAGTAGAAAAACGATCTGACCAAAAAAAAGTTAAGGCTAGAAAAGTATATATTACAGCCACCGCTGCATGTAACAGTTCATGGATAGGAATCAAAGACATTTCATTGGCCCTATGACCCATTTCAAGTCTGTTCGATAAAGTTTTGACGTCTGATGACGGAATTTAGTCCAAAAAGGGCAGTGATTTTCGTACTTCTTGCACCAAAAAGCATTCTTGGTATACTTTAACTAAAAGTACTTTGGTTAAGGTTTGAAACTTTTGCTAAACTTTGTCATTTGGTACTTTTTTTACTCATTGACTGACACTCGTGTTCACATTGTGATCAAATTGTGTTTTAAACCTTTTTAATCAAATTACAACGGTTATTAAGACTCATAAATGTGGACAACCAAACTGCTTGTTCCCCGTTGAGGAAGGAATGCAGTGCGGTGAGTGTAAAACTGGTACCATAAGATATGTACACGTCTAAGTCCTACGGCATACAAAAGATGCTCGAGGCCTAACTCGCGTTGGCTTTGTATGTTTTGCTGTACAAACAAAAAGTCACTAATTCAGAAGGCTATGAGCCTATTGGCTTTGGCCTGTAAGAAAAACGATGGCGGTTAAGCTGATAACACGAGCACTGACGGTAAAGTATGTGTCAGTGTAGTACAAGCCGCCTCTTGAAGGTTACATTTACCAAGGTTGAAGAAAGGAACCTGATTTTAAGTAATTCATGTAAACTGATCGGATCCGGAATATATGTCTGTGAGGATCTCAGGCTAGCTGATCGTATTAAGAGACGAGCTGCAGAAGCGAAAATAAATGAACGTCGCCAAAACGGGGAACGAAACCTTGTTCTTAAAGGTTTTCAAGTTGTAAAAATTCGGAGCAAAACGATCCCCAAGCCACTCTTGGTGGCAAGGGAAAGCTCTCCACAGACTTAAAGGTATGCTACACAAATGCTCGCAGCCTTCTAAATAAAATGGCCGAGCTCAAGTCAGTGGTTGATAAAGAAACACCGGACGTTATTGCTGTCTCGGAAACTTGGTTAACGTCAGAAGTATTAGATAGTGAAATCCAGTTTACTGGTTTCATAACCAGTAGGGCTGATAGATTAAACCAAAGGGGAGGGGGGTTATTCTGTACACGAAAGGTACCCTGACCATAAGATTAGCTGAGACAGTAGCACATGTTTCAGGGACAGGTGAACTGGTGAGATGTAAGCTGAAATGTAGACGGCAACATACTGAATTAGTTGCAGTATATCGCAGTCCAGAATGTGTAGCAGATGATTTTATCCTAAGTAAACTTAAGTTCTGGTGTAACAAGGGTAAAAGCCTTGCACCGCATATAAATTGGATTAACTGAGAAGTAGGGTCATCGGTAACGTCATTCGAATGCAAGCTGTTAGAAACATCGATTAGATTAGCTTTATTTCAACACATTAGAAACCCGACAAGATATGACTTAAGAAACTCTTCTTCTCTTTTAGATTTAGTCTTCGCACACGGTGATGACGTTGGTCATATGGCTTTTCTCCCACCACTTGGGAGAAGTGACCATGCAGTCATCTTATTCAAATTCATGGATGAGATTGCTTGTCAAACAGTTGCGCTGGCCCGTCCTAACATATGGAAGGCAGATATGCAGGCAATTAACTCCGCAGCATCGGCTGAAAACTGGGAAATCGACTCAAATGCATCAGTACAAGAGGCATGGACTCTATTCAGGCAGTTATACAATCAGGTAACTCAACCGTACATACCCTGGACTGTCCCAAAGAAAAAGAAGCACGGACATCCCTGGATAGAGCGGGATATTCGACGTTTACTAAGACAAAAGAAGAAATGCAGGGACCTTGCCATCCGCCTTGGCACAGCAGGTACGATGGAACGCTACAGATCGATAAGAAACGAGTGTATAACTAAAATTCGGGAAGCTCAAAGAAAATATGAAATGCAGCTGGCACAATCTGCACTCAAGCAGCCCAAGAGGATATTCTCGTACATAAACTACAGAACAAGGATTCATCATTGGATTCCCAACTTAATTAAGGTAGGAAGTGAATCCAAAATGATAGAGGCAGATCAGGAAAAAGCAGAGGCTATGGCTGACTATTTTGGGGCAGTTTTCACTCAGGAACCCCCTCTGGAGAGAGAACCAGACCCAATTACAGAGTCAACAAACCACCTGCTCACCGTGGACTTTGACCAAAACGATGTGCTTAAGGCTCTTAGCACCCTCAACATGGAGAAGTCAACGGGACCAGATGAACTACACCCCAAAATCTTGAGACATATTGCCCAATATATCGCGACCCCACTGACTGTGATATTCAATATGTCACTTGACCAAGGTGTGTTACCTATGGACTGGAAGGACGCGATCGTCACTCCCATACATAAAACAGGTCCACGACAATTTCCATCGGATTACAGACCCGTAAGCCTCACCAGTGTTGTAGTTAAAATACTGGAAAGAATAATCAAACGGACCATAACGGCATTTATGTAAACCAATAACTTGTTGAACATGGCACAGCATGGTTTTAGAAAGGTTCTACCCTGTACAACGAACCTCCTTATAGCAAGGGAGTTCTGGATTAATGCGCTAGACAACGGAAGCTCAGTGGATGTTGTCTACATAGATTTCAGTAAGGCTTTTGACAAGGTGCCGACTAATAGACTGCTATTGAAGTTGGAAAACCTTGGCATTGCCGGACCTCTTTTAAAATGGATTAAAGATTTCCTAGTAGGTCTTAGACAAAAAGTAAGAATAAATTCCAAGTGCTCCATCTGGAGACCAGTACTTAATGGAGTACCCCAAGGTTCCGTCCTAGGTCCTTTGCTCTTTATAATGTATGTTAATTATTTCGCAAATACAGTGCAGTTCCCAATGTTATTATACGCTGACGATGTAAAAATTTGGCGAGTAATAACTGGAGACACAGAAGCATGTGCTCTTCAGGCAGACTTAAATAATATGATTAATTGGTCTAAAGAGTGGCTGATGTCTATCAACGCGACAAAGTGTGTCTACATGCACTTTGGGGATTCAAAGGTTAATACGTACAACATAGGGGAAGTGCCATTACCGGTAGTCCGGTCTCATAAGGATCTAGAGATGACAGTGAGTCGTGATCTTAAGACGATGGCTCATTGCTGGGAGGTCGCAGCTTGGGGGTTTCGAACTCTCTGGGCTTTAAAACGGACATTCACTAAGTTAGATACTAAAATGTTCACCACGGTATACACATCCGTAGTGAGAAGTGAGCTTGAGAACTGCATTCAGGCTGCATGCCCATGTTTAAAAGGTGACGCGGACATCCTAGAAAAAGTGCAGAGGGTAGCTACCCGTGCAATTTCAGAACTCCGGGGTTTACCAAAAAAAGAGCGCCTTGAAAAGCTGGACCTCTTTACTCTGTCCTATCGCAGGTTAAGGGGAGATCTGATTTCGATGTACAGAATACTGAGAAATTATTTTGGACCTAACGTTTTCTCTCTTTTTCTTTCCACTAGATCGAGACATCTCAGAGGACATAGCAGGCGAGTAGAAAAGCCAAGAACGAACAAAATACCCGTGGCATACAGGATTTCATACCGGGTTATCAATGCTTGGAACCTGCTGCTCGAAACAGTGGTGTCCGCACCTTCAATTAAATCTCTCAAGAGGAGACTGGACACTCACAGAAGCATACTAGAAAAGGAATAACATAGGCCGTAGGCCTTCTGTCCTTACTACACAAATCTGAAAGACCACCTAATATAAGTAAGATAGACCCTGTCATACAGAATGGACCTGATATCTCAAAGCTACAGCTATACTCCAATTTCATGATTTAAAGTAAAACACAAAAGCTGTCTTGCTGTAGTCCTATTGAACATCATGGCCTGCTCTATTTGTTTAGCTGCATCAGTGACATTTACTAGAATTCTGGAAGCGTCAGCGAAATGTCTGATAATGATGTTCATGGTTCTGATGCCCAGCAACGGGTCGAAGATGAATATCTAAAGGATTTTATGGATTTAAGCCCATGTGGTGATCGTGGTATCCTCAAAAAAGTATTGCGAGAAGGCTATTCTGACGTCAAGCCATGTGATGGCGACACTGTGGTTGTACATTATGTCGGGACTAACTATGGTGGGGAAAAACACGGTGAAGTCTTTGACTCAAGTAGGGCACGGAATGAGAAGTTTGAATTTACTATTGGAAATGGTAAGTGTATACCCATCCTGATTACTCTTTCAGGTAGTGTAATTAAGGCTTGGGATGTCGGTGTCGCTACAATGAAGTTGGGAGAAATTTGTGAACTAATCGCGTCTCCTGATTATGCCTACAAAGATGGTAAAACTCTAAAGTTCGAAGTGGAGCTTTTCGAAACCTTGGGTAATGTTTAATATATCACATAATGAACAGATCAGGCGCTGATGTCAGCAGAAACAAGGATGGGAGTATTCGTAAATCAACTATTAGGAAAGGGAAGGATATCTATAACCCTGTTGCTGGTGCTGAGGCCACAATTGTCTTCCGTAATTTGACGGATTCAGCAGAGAATGTGGAGGTGACATATTGCGTCGGTGATCCCCCGTTAACTGTGCCAGAAGAGTTGGATCTGTGTGTTCGTCATATGAATACAGATGAATTTAGTCGTGTTGTGGTATACAAAGATAAGAATTCAGCAACTGAGGGTGCAGACGGACATCGGGTAGTTTATGAATTAACGCTGAAGTCTTTTGAAAAGGTAATCAAAGACCCATTTCTCGTTATTATTAGACTAAACATCTATCTGGTATCTCGTCATTCTCAGAGCAGATGGCGTATGCAAATGTACTGAAAGAAAAAGCCAACAACTTTCTAAAGGTTTGTCGCCGTTTAGTCATTATGTCAGGACTCTAAATTTGATTCTGCTATTGAATTGTACAAACGTTTAGATGACGAGTTGCAGTACATAGTGGCTAATGGCCCTACAGAGCAGAAGGAATTATCCGCGGTTATTGTAGCCGTCCGACTTAATTTAGCTTTGAGTTACCTGAAGCAATGTAAACCAGATAAATGTATTGAGTTCTGCAAGAAAGTATTGGACGTTTTTGGTAACAACGAAAAAGCGTTATTCAGGATAGGTCAGGTAAATTAAATACACAAAATTATATTTCCAGGCGCATCTGCTGCGTAAAGACCACGAGGAGGCGTCAGTTTACTTCAAGAAAATTGTAGAAAGCAATCCCAACAATGCGTCTGCTGTAAAGCAGTTGCATATGTGCGAGGAAGAGATTAGAAAGGCCCAAGATATGGCAAAGAAAAGGTTCCGGAGCATTTTCGAGCGCTGTAAAGACGTAAGTCGAAATTGATTGTAATTGCTCTTGTAGTCTGGATTGGATGGTGTTGAAGAACACAAAGACGGAGTCACGTTGAATGGCGAAAAGTCTGCATTGTAAAAGTTTGCTCCTTAATGTAATCTAAATGAGCAATCCGTGATTTTGTAAATGTTCCCCATAATTGTTACCAGTTTCAAAGTTGTGAATAAATCATTGAACCTAGATTTGTGTTCTCTAATGTTTAATAGCAGCACGTAGTTAACTTAGAGCTCATACCCTATAGAAATTCTAATTGTTGCTAGTCTGCTTAGCATTGTTGACTTCATGGTCAGATAATTACCCAGTAATCGGTTGTTTATGTATTGGCTCGCTTTTTGTTTTGAATGCCTCTGGCTGTGCTTCTAGCTATCTTAATGTACGGTGAACGGATGTAACCGCAAATAATAACGCCCAACTCCAGCTAGGAGTACAACATACTGTGTCGGGGGGGTTAGACTATCTTAGCTCCAGGTAGCAACTATGGCAGTGTAAATCACTTTTTAGCGGCGTAAAGTACCCTCCCTCCAGTACTGACTGAGTCATTGATATACCCCAGTGCCGTCCGTGTTATCCCCTGGTCAACAGGCGAGAGGGATTGTTGGGGCCGTCATAAGCTTATCCGTATGACATTTGTTGCATGGATCACTTGGTGCTGCGTGGTAGCGTAATGAATCTAACCAAAACTGCGTATCGAAAAGTGGGAGTGGATGTCTGAAGTATGAACAACTTCGACCGGTTTCGGGGGAGGAAGTTGGTGCGTTCATCTGGGTCATTGAGGTAGGCTTCCTATCATATTTTAGTGGGTCTTTATCTGATCCCAGTTAAGTCGTACGCTGATTACTGTCAAAACATGTATGCTACCAGCTTTCGTGTATTGTTATTGACCTAATTCGCGTTGGTGATCAACGGAATGAAGTAATCCAAGTTTGAGGATGTGTTTTGGATTTGCATACTTTGTACACATTGATGCAAACAGACATCCGAAAGAAAGGGAGCGGATGGAAGGGGTACACAACAGAGGCGAGCGAGCCAACTGGTCTCGGCCGAGTGTGACTCTATTTGTATTCAGACAAATAAGTTACAGACGCGTAATGAATATGTCGAGGTCATATGGAGACATTCAGGGTCAACGAGCGGACAATCAACAAGGTCAAAGTGTAGCTTCAAAAATGGTGGAGATCTGTAGCTTGGGTGGGTGATCTTGATGGAGTTTTGTTCTCAGAGGGGTGGATAAGTTGGTCTGTCCAAAAGGTAGGGCAACCCGTGGGGGCTGGACGTAGTACCAGCCACTACAATGACATGTGGGCAGCCGCTCTACTACCGTGTCGTCCATCCAAGTAGGCATTTAGTACCTACCAGATTGGCTCGTATAAACCGTTGATTAACTCGTGGGTCTATTTGATGTATTGGTTGCGGAGGGATGGTCCCTGTCTTCCTCCAAAACATTTCGATCACCATTTCGTAAGGTAAGCGGCATACTCGCTTTATAGTTGGGACCGGTGAGATGATTTTGATAATAATCTGCAAACCACCAAGTGTAATGAAACCTCAAGACAGGTGGAACAGTCAACGTGCCCGACTTCATTCACTATGGCCAGAATAGGCACATGCTGACCATTTCTGAAGTGGCATTTCGTATTTAGGAAAAGTGATCCCTACCATCCTCAGCCTGTTGCTCAAAGCGTAAAGAATACTACACTTTAGCGCTACAAATACCTGGATGGGGTCGCTAAGTTCATGTTTGTTGCTCATGGGTAATGTTTATTAGTGGAGGTTGGTCAGGACTCAGAAACTGGGGTTTATATATTTTAGGTTTCAGAGTATTAGGTTGTAATTATTTCTGGACACGTATTTGATAATTGTTAATTTTGCATGATTTTTATCTTATGTTTTGTGCTTTATCCTATCAGACATCTAAGCACGAAATCGTTTCACGCTCTTTTAGTGTCGTTTGTTCAAGTAACTAACAATAAATATATCAAAGAAGTAAATCTAATCTCCTGAATAATTGTTATTTCCCCATAGTGTTTTGTTTCATACGGTCTTAGTTTAACAATCAAAGCACTGGTTATAATTAATACTTCGTGCGATAACTTATAGATTGGCACATTTTCAAAGCTCTTATTCATTGTGTATAATTTAGGTAATATTAATTAGCTATGTGCATTTCGCAGCGATTGGAAACCCATGAGTTTTCATTGTGTTCATTACTTATCTAATTAAAACATCCCCTAGATATATTTTTTCATTAATGCCTATCGAAGGATCACAAGGCAAAGTAGGCCAGAAAGTCAAATTAACCCTTTTTAGGGAACTCTAGATAGGGATAGGGTAGGCCTAATTTTTGCCTCCAAATGGTATGTCTAAGGGTGGGGTGGGGTCTGCCCTTAAGAAAACCACCTACTTCGGTTTGGGCACCCTGTAGTATCCCGACTTACACAAATTTAATTAATTAATTAATTAACTAATTTGCTTGGCACATACCTGTTTTGGTGCTTTTCTGTACCAATATATATTTAAATAAATAACAGGCCCAATTTCAACTTGAAAATCCATGCCAAATGTAGATAAGATATTTGCATATGTTAAGAGTCTAGATTTTTTAAACTGATGTTGCTTCAAATCTTATACGATAATAATAAGCTTCCTCTGAAGTGAGAAAAGTATCAGCTTACAAACCGTTGGTCACTTATACCATTAAAGCCCCAGTCACATGTATTGATAACATGCAGTTAAGTGTTGAAAAAGAGTTAGGAAATATTGACTCTAAAAATACTAAACCTTGCCTTATGTCATGGATTTCTGTCACCGTTAGTAAGGCCTTTGAAGTACGGAGATAACATCAAGAACTACTCGCAAAATACCATATGTGACTTGTTCCAGACAGTTGCCTCTTGGTTCCTCTTTAACGTCTTTTGAAAAGGAGCATAGTTATACGATGTGAGCAACTAGTAAGTACCAATCACTTGCACACTTGATGGGATCACTTTGTTCACGAGTATATCTTTTCTCCACCTCCTGATACTTTTTCTATCTCTACCATTAACCGTGCGCTATACTATTTTTTTACGGAAATGATGCCCCAATCCTCCTGCCAAAAGAATATTGGTTCCTGACCGCTGTGTCCTATACAATGCCTATGATTCCGGAACGCTCATGGAGTTGTAGCTATACCATTTCTTTAGCGTACTTACGTTACTTTTGCGCTACTTAATAAAGACGACTCTGATGATTATTGTATTGTATGCTCCGATAGCAGCGCTGTACTGTAAGGTGCTATCATCTGTGATTAATTATTCCTCCTGCTTTACATTAATAAAATCTTCGCGATAGATGTTCAATTAAAGCTTTTGATGAATCAAATCTCAAATAATGTGCCGTTATTTTGTTTTAAATTACTTCACCCCTTATTTTAACATTCTGATCATGACTGTAAGTTAATGTGCATTCAGTAATTATTTTTAAGATGTTTATCATATGAATATTATTATCATTACTTAATTGTCGAATAACTGTCGGTATATGTCAGAATAATTTTATCTTAATTTGATTCTTTTGTTTACTAACTATACACTTATTTGTATTAAGTAGTTATTTCATAAACAGCGAACCTATTCCCAATACATTATGAACTTTGACATTCGGCAGAAAATTTCTCGAACATTTCTCCCATTATCGTACTTGTTTACAAATGCACAGCTAGGAAAGTGAATTCATCTAAATGATTTTCAGTGCATTATATATATAATTTTCTGAATGACGAACAATGAAGTTTATTAGATGATAGAAAGGCAAGAGATGCAAGCAAATGTCATCAGAAATTGTTTTGAAATGCTTTTGGGGTTTTTGTGTTTACTCTACTGGATGGTTTGACTGCGCGACTTTCGTTTCTGTCTCAATCTTCGACAGAGCCTACTTCAAAAATAAGAATATACCGCGCCATTGAGCGATCAATTAGAATTCAGCTAGCCGATATGGGAATATAAAACGCTGTTGCGGATAGCTTGTTACTAAAACTCATGGTTTTCATTATATTTCGTAATTCGCAGCGACTAGATGGTGGTTTTGTTATGACTTTATGTCTGGCTTCTTGTCACGTGATTTATCCACCAACCAAAATACGACCTATACAATCTTAGCTCTGTACCAAACCAATGACGTTCGAACGGTATGAGCAGCCTAGCGTCCTTATTGGTCCTATATCCGCATAGCCTGTCCACTTGAGTCCAGAACACCAATACCAGCTCCCACTATGCGAATCGAATCATTTATTTCAGACATACTGGGTTTATATATCAATCAAACAGACCGCAACGCACCATAAAGTATTTAACACCAAACTGTTCATAGATGTTGTTAAGGCTTCCAACCCGCGGTAAATTTATCATTTTTCTATAATGTAGAGCTCTAAAAAAAAGTTCATCCTGATTGGTTAACCTCAGGGCCATCCCTAAAGTTGCTTAAGGTCGTCGGTATAGTATGATTTTACTCTCTCAAATAGAAACAGTGGTTTAGTTGTCATACTAATGGTAAATCAATTCCTTATGATGACCCGGGTTATGACTGGTTGATATCAGGTTCTGCTTCCTTCACATGTATTTATCGTTCTGCTCATTGTCCTGTTCAATCGGACATTATGTAACTTTTACCACATGCATTATGGCGCCCGTGTGATTTATCTTAACTTTGGGATGGAAAAAATAATCTAATCTTTCCGGTTATTCTGTACACCCGTATTTGTCCTTGACAAATATTTTCACGTTATACTTGAACATCTTTTTTTCCATATGCTTATGTGTGTACGTATGCTTATCTTTATTTATAGCCCGCTTGGTTGACACAGTTTTTTATGTATACAATGTATCCTAAATAATAATGAGTAGGCTACTATCCCAACTTCGTGCTACATCTACCTGTCATTCGCTTACATGATTATCTGCTCATAATTGAATATATGCAATAAACGTATCTTTATCAGAAGGGGTTTTGTGGAGATTTTAGAAATTCCACTGGTTGAAATCATGAGTCAATTGGAGCTAGACCACCATGGAAAACCTGGAAGTACTGGATGGCTGCTTCATCCTAGTATGTGACTCCTCAGCAGTGCGCATCTACGACCTTGCCCCCTGCGAGATTCGAACCCAAGACCTGTTGGTTTCGCGCGCGAGCACTTAACCACTAAGCCGGAATGAAAAGGTGCTAATGTCTAACTTCAATCAATCCACGGAGTTGCACCACCGTATACCATTGTCTTCAGTGACTTGATATCTCACAACTGACCTGGTTGAACTCCACGGGTAACGGCTTCTTGCTAGAACTCCAGGGGGCGAGGTCGTGGATGCGCACTGCTGAGGAGTCCCATACTAGGACGAAACGGCCGTCCAGTGCTTCCAGGCTTTCCATGGTGGTCTAGCTTTAATTGACTCATGATTTCAACCAGTGAAACGTATCTTTATTACATTTCTTATTTCAACTTTTTGATTTAACGTTGTATTAACACGTGCTCATGGTTCATTACTATAGACATATATATACAAACGTGTAGAAAATGCTCAATGTTAACTTATGAATATTTGATAATAACAAATATAAGTGCACTGTAACGATTAGAATAATTTTCCTATCCCAATGTTATAATAGATCACATAAACAGCATAAAAGAGAAGCTACTACAACATCTTGTTTTGAAAACACTTAATGTCACAAATTGAGTCTAATCAATATAATAACAATGTGTTAATGTAATACCTGTAAATGTTTATTTGATAAACAGTTTAATATCAATGATTTATTAAATTGATCGATAGATAATCAATTATATATTTGTTATTTTCTATAGGTCCAATACTATTGATGAAGTAATATTCAATATTGATAGACACAATAATAACAAAACAATAACAAACGTTGAAAACTGTGTCTGTTATTGACACTGTACCATAGAAGAACGAACAACTTATTCTAATGAAACTAGCTTATATATATATATATATATATATATATAT